TCACATCTCCTGGAGTTACAGAAGGTTACAAACCGCCATGCCCTTGCTGGAAATAGAACTTCCATTCCAGGTCCTCTGAAAGAGCAGCCAGTGCTCTTAACCACTGAGATATCTCCCCATCCCCAGCGAGAACTATCTTAAGATCCTATTTCAGAAAGAAAACAAAAATTACCAAGCAGAAAGAAGAGACAAATGACTGAAAGATGCAGGAAATAACTTCATGTATCTAATGAGAGAGGAAAACAGCAATATCTTCCTAAGAGAAATAAAATTTACCAACAAAAATTTAATTTTTTCTTGAAAAAATAGTTTTAAGCCCATAGCTTAAATTATAAAAACTGCACAAAATGAATTCAAATGACCAAGAGTTTATGCACTACATAGTAAATCAAAGTTAATGGAGTAAAAGAGACAGTTCAGGCAGCAGTGGCGCACGCCTTTAATCCCAGCACTCGGGGGCCAGAGGCAGGTGGATCTCTGTGAGTTCGAGGCCAGCCTGGTGGCTAGAGTGAGTTCCAGGGTAGTCAGGGCTACACAGAGGTTTAAACGATGTCTGGGGGGCAGGGGGAGACACTAGCAACCATCGGATAAACACCAACGGGGACCTAAGCACTAGCTACAGCAGAAGCAAACTACGTTTAAAAACAGTGGTACACCAACGGCTTGCTTCCTTTACATTCATTCCTTTAACACTCTTAACTTGAACTGAGACCTCCTTGGAAAACCAAGAAAACGACACTTTGGGTTATACAGGAACAGCTCAGAGATCATAAAAGGATTTGAACTTCTTGATAAGCGATCGCTTGTTCACTTAAATAGCTCAACAATGTACTAAGAAATGGGATCCACATCCGAATCATCAGAAGAACGCTAACACTCCTAAGACGCAATTTAGGGGAGTGGTGAAGCAGAGGCCACTTGACACACTCCTAGTACTGTCACACCGATCCCGCCCACCGGCTTCCCACCTCTCAGGGACTTAAAACACACTGCGGCCATCCGCGTCCCTGGAGCAGACAGCAGCTCCTGTCACCTCTGCTGGGAGGACCCCATGCCGAGAGCACTGCCCGCTGGGGCTCGGCCGGGCTCCGTCTCCGGGAAACCCAGCGTGTAAGAGTGAGTCTTTGAGCAAAGCTGCTAGAGCTCGGAGTCCTCAGGGAGCCAGGGGGTCGCACATCCCCGGGATCTCCCCTCAGGGAGCCGCTCCAGCATTCGGGGAACTCGGGCTGCCCTGGTTCTCGGCGTCTCGCCGCGTCGGACCCGGTCGCCTTACACCGCGGAGCCCCTCCGCCGCGCCAGGACCCGGTGCCCGGTAGGGATCCGGCCGAGGGAGGAGGGCAGGCTGGCGGGCGCCCCACAGCCGGAAGGGGCCTGCCTCGCAAACAGGACAGCCTCCGGCCGGGCTCACCTTCAGGTCGTTCTCGGGAAGGTACTTGCACTGCCGCGCTATCTCCACATACTTGTCCAGATCTAGCGGCGCCATTTTAGGAAGAACGAGACGCGACGACGGCAGCGGCAGCAGCTGTAGTGCCGGAGGCAGCGGCGGTGGCCGAAGCCGGAACTCTCCTTACGTCACGTCCGACCCGTGAGTGGCGTCTGCGCAGCGACGTCGAAGCCTAACTCGCTTCTTTCCGGGCCGCGACACGCCCCGCGCCCTCTCAGGCGGAACTCCGGGTCTCTAAGAGAACCCCGGGGTCCTGTTGACGAAACCTGCTGGGACTCGTAGCTGTCTGCCGCGGGGAGTGCTGGGATTTGTAGTTTTAGTGAAACGGAATGCTCCTGCTCTCCTACTCTTCACCTCCAGGAAACCAGATGAAGCTTTTCCAAGGGAAGATTACAAAGACTAGGTATTCCCTGCCTCTCATCCCTACCCAGTAAAGCACCCTGTCAGCATCTTCAGTTAAAGTTAGACCTGGCCTAGACGTGTGAAACAGATTTCACACCCCCAATTCTCCATCTTGGAAGAAAAGGAAAAAAAAAATTAAAGCATTTATGCTAAATTCTGTACAAATACTGGCGCGCTTTTTTCCCCTCTTTAATTCTTGTAAGACTGATAGGAGTGCAAAGCTTGCACGTGTTACTTGCCCCAAATCTCAAAGGAAACAAAAAACGTGGCGCCTAGCCTGGAAAACAGGCTACTGAATTAATAAATGTGTGAGTCCCACATGGGGGCAGGAAGGTTTTTTGTGTTGCGTTGGTTTTTTTTTTTGTTTGTTTTGTTTTGTTTTAACTTTGTTTAAATAATCTCATTGTAAAAAAAAAAAAATCTTGAGCCAGACAGTGGTGGCATGCCTTATATCCCAGTGCTCGAGAGGCAGAGGCAGGCAGATCTCTGTGAGTTCAAGGTCAGCCAAGATTGCTTCGCAGAGAAATCCAGTCTCAAAAAACAAAACAAACACCTAATATAGCTTTTTTTTTTTGCGGGGGGGGGGGGGCTTGAGACAGGGTTTCTCTGTGTAGTTTTGGTGCCTTTCCTGGATCTCGCTCTGTAGACCAGGTTGGCCTCGAACTCAAGAGATCTGCCTGCCTCTGCTTCCTCATGCTGGGATTAAAGGCTTGTGCCACCACCACCCGGCTTTGAGTTCTGTTTTTAAAATGGGAGTACTCGGGAGGCAGAGCCAGGCGGATCTCTGTGAGTTCGAGGCCAGCCTGGACTACCAAGTGAATTCCAGGAAAGGCACAAAGCTACACAGAGAAACCCTGTCTCGAAAAACCAAAAAAAAAAAAAAAAAAAAAGGGAGTCAAGAAGCTGGATATGAGGAGGCAGAGGCAGGCAGATCTCTGTGAGTTTGAGGCCAGCCTGGTCTACAGAGCAAGTTCCAGGTCAGGCTCAAAGATACACAGAAAAACCCTGTCTCGGAGGCGGGGGGGCGGGACAAACAAACAAACTAAAAACAAAACCAGAACTCAAACATTCCTGCAAGAATTCAGGAATGTAGGGTTGGAGAGATGTCTCAGTGGTTAAGAGCACTGATTGCTCTTCCAAAAGACCCAGGTTCAATTCCCAGCACCCATATGGCAGCCCACAACTGTCTGTAACTCTGGTTCCAGGGGACCTGACACCCATACATGCAGGCAAAACACCAATGCACATAAAATAAAAATAAATATAAATTTAAAAAATTCAGGATTGTGATTTCTATTCTAAAAGGATTAGTTCCTACAATGTAAACTATCTGATATTTCAGTTTTTCTTGTTAATATACCCCTCTAGCATGGCATCTTGAAGTAATCCTAGTCAAAAGACCCATGGCCTATCAAAGCATTCTAGAGCTCTGAACAGTAATTGCTGTCTAAATACATGCCGAGCACATGGCAGAGCCAACCTGGCCTTGGTTCTCTCTCCGGAAGGAAATTATTCTTCAGCAGTCACTGGGATATTTTCTATTAATTACAGGAAATCATAAGAGTCCAGGTGTTAGAAATACATGGCAAGGCTAGCAACCTGGGCTACATAAAGACACTGTCTTTGATTCAGAACTGTAGTTTTCATTTTGAAAAGTGTTAGGGTAGTAGTGGCACACACCTTTAATCCCAGCACTCGGGAAGCAGAGGCAGACGGATCTCTGAGTTCTAGGCCAGGCTGGTCTACAGAGCGAGTTCCAGGACAGCCAGGGCTACATAGAGAAACCCTGTCTCAAAAAGAAAAACAGAAAAGAAATATATGACAAAGTAGTGAGGAGAGCGGCAGCCCCCCAATTCCACTTTGTCCATGAGTTTTGGTTATATTTCAAGTAGCTAAATGAGTTAAGTTAGAGATCTGGCATTGTGGCCTTATTGGTAAATCTCAGCATTTGGGAGGTGGAGGAGGCAGGAGCATCAGGAATTCAAGGTCATCCTTAGCTACACAGTGAGTTGAGACAAGCCTGGGCCACATGAGACCTTGTCTCAAAATTAAAACCCAAGTTTTCCTTTCACTCACATTAGTATATTCTCTCAACATCTGTCTGCTGGTGTTATCCTCATTCTATATGTGAGTAAACTAGGGTTCAGAGAGGGGAACGGACTTGGCAGGTGTCAGAGTTCCCTGTTAGGTGCTGCAGCTTGTGTCTGAAGTCATTTGTCTGCCCTCTCCACATAAGTACAGTAAGTAGACCTGCTGTTTCTAGTAGTTTTGAGTTCTGATTGTAGTGAGCTTGAGTGTGGTTCTCTGATCACACATAGGCACAGGCAAGTCACCTTTGTTTTAGGAAAGACACGGAGCACTTACAGCTAGGACATAGATCAGAGATTATGCAGATGAAGTTGCCGGCAGAGGGTGGTTCATTTATAGATAGAAATAATCATGGCCTTTACAGAGGACCAGCTCTGGGCCTTCATAGATACCCGACCACAATCCCTATAGAAAGCTTATGATTTCTCTGTTACAGAGAGAAGACACCCAAAGTATTAATAACTTTCCCCAAGATCAAACAGTATCAGTGAACTTTATATTCCCCACCCTTCACAATAGGACCTAGTTGTCATCTTTGATCTCTCTGCTCAGCCTGTAAGCTCCTCAAGACCAAGGGCCTGTGGTCTGGAACATGCTGTCACCACAAACAGCAGTCATGGAAATGAACTTCTTTAAGCACCACAGTTTGAACCAGCCTGAAGCCTGCACAGGAGCATGCACATAAACTCAACTCAGGAGGCTGGAGCAGAATTCAGGGTGGGCCTGGCTTACATAATGAGTTCCAGGCCACTCCTTCCCATCAGAAGTCACCACTAACGACTGCTGTAACAAACTCCACTAGTCCTTTAAGGGCTGAACAAGGAATTGGAGTAATCGAACGGTATGCCAACCAGCACGCAGGGCTCCAGGCCGCGCTGACTAGTTTGGAGTGGCCGCTGCTGCCCGGAGACTGCAGAAGCGCAGAGCGGTTGGCCTGCGCGCTTCCGGGGCCTGGGGAAGGGGGCGGGCTCGTAAGCCCCGCCCTGTGGGTGGAGCCACGATCTGGACGAGCAAGGGCTGCGGCAGGTAATTTGGTGCTGGTCAGGAGGTCTCTGGGCGGGGCCATCTGGAGGAGGGCGGGATCCCGGCACTCTCGGAAGTGTGCCTGAGCTGGGTGGAAGGGACGGTGTCCCTGGTCTCCGGCCGGCCACATTAGCGGAAAGCAGGCAGCCATTTCTCCCTGACCCTGACTTCTTTCACGAAATGTGGCCGGGAGAGGGGATGTAAAGGAGGTAGCTAGGAGAGTTCCCTCCCATGCGAAGCCGGCCCTTGGAGCTCTGACCCTGTGGTCCGCAGCCTAGGCCGCAGGTTGACCTCACCGGTGCATCTCCTTTAGTTCCTTTTTTTCCTTCATTTATCCATACTTCTACTCTCTGCGGGCCCGTCGGTAAGTTATCAGATTGAATCTGAAGGACGGACATGCTAAGATTTTAGAATTTAGTCTAGATACTTTTGTTACTATTATTTTGAGACAAGAGCCTCACTATGTAGCCCAGGCTGGCCTCTATCTATTGGTCTACTGCTTCAAGCCTCCCCAGTGCCAGGTAGTGCACTACTGTGCCTGGCTGACTACAGACTTTTAAATAGATAATTATATCAAGGCTCTGAGGGTGTAGTTCAGTTAGCAGAGTGCCCGCCTAGTGAGAACGCAGACCTGGCTTCGATCCCCAGTACGGGATAAAACCAGGCATGGTGGGATTTGCTTGTAATCATAGCTTTTGGGAAGTGGAGGCAGGATGATCAGAAGTTCAAGGTCACTCTTGGCTACATAATGAGTCAAGGCTAGCCTATGCTACATGAGACCTTGTCTCTAAATAAGTAAATAAGTTTGAAAAAAAAAAGATAATTACATTTAGAATGATTCCTATAATAATGATGGCTAAATAGACATGGTCATAAAAGAAACCCAAGCCCAAGTCCTTCTAATTAAGCCTCCCTGCCAAGTGTGTGTGTATTGCTAATAAAAGGGAAAGTTTCTTTAAGGAACCTTTGAAATGGACTTTATTCTCTCTCTCTCTCTCTCTCTCTCTCTCTCTCTCTCTCTCTCTCTCTCTCTCTCTCTCTCTCTCTCTCTCTCTCAAAAACAGGGTTTCTCTGTGTAGCCCTGGCTGTCTTAGAACTCACTCTGTAGACCAAGCTGGCCTCAAACTTACAGAGATCCACCTGCCTCTGCCTCCCAGGTGCTGGGATTAAAGGCGTGTGCCACCACTGCTCAGCTTTTTAAATTTGTTTTCTTTTGGGGGGGTCTTTATTTTTTATTTATTTCTTTTTATGGAAATTGAACCCAGGGTCTTGTCCATGCTAACCAGGCACTCTACTACAGAGCCACATCAGCTCCTTGGGACCAACTGTAAATATTGACTAGAAGTGTGCAAGTTCATAAGAAGGGAAGATAGGGGAGACATGTTGATTTTATTAACTCCATAGTGGGTGAGGGGATTTAATGCAGGCTATGAAAGGGCTTGCTCTGTTAGGGGAACAACAGGAAGCCCAATATTGCAGGTGGGGTCCATAAAAAAGATACAGGTCACTCCACACAACCGGGGCCACATAGTGAGACCCTGTCTCAAAACAACAAAATACGAATCAGAAAGCTTGGTCTTCTATTTCATGCTGAGACCAAGATTTATCTCAGAATTCAGTATTACTCAGCTACTTAGATTGTTCTATCGTGTGTGTGTGTGTGTGTGTGTGTGTGTGTGTGTGTGTGTGTGTTTGTGGGGGTTTTTTTGTTTTGTTTTTTTGTTTTTGAGATAGAGTTTCTGTGTTGCCCTGGCTGTCCTGGAACTCACTATGTAGACCAGGCTGGCATTGAACTCACAGAGATCTACCTGCCTCTGCCTCACCAGTGCTGTGTACCACTATGCCTGGCTCTTAAAATATTTTTAATACAATTTTTAAGTTAGTCTGCCAAATAATATGTTTCAGGGGGTTGGAGAGATGGCTCAGTGGTTAAGAGCACTGGCTGCTCTTCCAGAGGGCCCAAGTTCAATTCCCAGCACCCACATGGCAGCTCGAAACTGTCCATAACTCCTGTTCTAGGGGATCCAACACCCTCATACAGACATACATGCAGGCAAAACACCAATGTACATAAAATAAAAATAAATAATTTTTAAAAAACAATGTTTCATTATGGCATTTTCATACGTATGTGTCCTACATTGTTCCGATTTGTATGCCCTGCCTTATTGCCCTGCGCATGCCTGTTTTACCTTTAATAAAGACCTCTGACATTTGATATGTGCCCCTCCCTCATGAGACTCAGAGACAGATGGGGGGTGTGTCTCCAGTTAGACACCTAGCATTCACGAGGCCCTGGATCTGAACCTGTCACTGGTGGGGACAGGGAGAAGAGGAAAAGGCTGGATATAGTGGCTGCAATTCAAGTACTGAAGAGACTTAGGCAGGACTCTCCAGAGTTGGAAGTCAGCCTAGGCTACTAAAGCTCTTGTTTCAAAACAAAAAGGATTCACCCCTAAGTGTGGTGATCTTGATTCACATTTGCCAGAAATTAGAAGATTCACCCTCAAAGGTTTGGTGGGGTTTGTGGTTGTTCCTTCCCAGTTTGGGGGTCCAACCTGGGGCCTTGCTCATGCTGGGCAAGTGCTCTACCACTGAGCCCCTCCACAATCTAATAAAGGTTTGTGAGGGGCACGGCCGGATTTGTTGTCTTGTAGGAAGATGCCTGAACACTGCCTTCCTCTCTTCTGCATAGGGCGTCATGAAGCAGCTGCCAGTCTTGGAGCCTGGAGACAAGCCCAGGAAAGCTACATGGTCTGTAAGGAAGGATTCAGACACACACAAGAGCTTTTGTTTCATAGATATGTAGTTTTGAGCATCGTCGCAAAGGGGTAGTAATGAAACTGGTAATTAGACCCAAAGAGTCTGAGAAGGTCTTCAGAGGAAAGATAGGTGGGCAGTAATTATCACAGAGCAGCTGTTAATTTTATTAAAATCTTTTTACCAGGAGGAATGAAACACTGGCCATCTGGCATCCTCGGCTCCTACTCTTAGGTCCTCCCCTGAGCTGTGACTCATTCTTAAGGTTTCAGGGAGTTGACTTTGGATTATACTGGCTTCAGTGTCCCTTGGCTGTTTGTTAAACCCTTCATTCAGCAACTCCTACTGGCTAACATCGGTGGCTGCTCTACAGACTCCAGAAGTCCACAGGCAAATAGTCCCTCTGTAGTGAAGTCAGAGACAGAGCAGGTGGTGGAGTCTGGCCTGCACTGAGGGGCTGGCAGAAGGTTGCAGAGAGGTGCAGTGTCCCCACAGGACTCAAGTGAGCTTCCATGCCTGTTTCCATGACCTGTCTTGCCGCAGAGCCATCACCCATGTGCTGGAGATGTGTTCTAGGGTAAAGCCGTGTAGAGAACTGGGATTGTAGCTTGTTTGGAGAGCTCTGCCTCGCATGTATAATACCCCTAGTTAGAGCCTCAGCACTGAATAAGAAATTGCAGGCACCTTAAACGAGGCCTTGTGTAATCAGTCTGTTTCTGCCTGTCCATTCAGTCTCAACTGTCTTTACATACTCTTTTGCTGTTTTGTTTGCTGTTGAGACAGCCTCATGTAGCCCAGGCTGGCTCCTAGCTTTCAGCAGTCCTCCTTTCTCAGCCTCCCAAGTGCAGGTATTACAATCATAGCCACCAAGATTGACCTTGTTTTGTTTCAAAACAGGCTGTCTAGTACTCAGGTACCAGACGGTCACTTGGAGTTCAATGCTAGCCTGGGCAATGGAGTAAAATGCTGTCTAGAAAAAAAAAAAAAAAAGACAAAAAGAACTTTTATATTAAAACTATTCTTTGACTGTGAAAACAATGAAAAAGATATTCCTGAAGCTTTTAAATTGTCCTTTTACCCACTGGTCCATGAGGGCTCACTTGGCATCTTTCTAGATTTTTATCCTTTTTTGGTTTTTGGTTTTTTGATACAGAATTTCTCTGTGTAACTTTGTCTGTCCTGGAACTTGCACTGTAGATCAGGCTGGCCGAAAACTCACAGAGATCCTCCTGCCTCTGCCTCTTGAGTGCTAGGATCAAAGATGTGTGCCACTACCACCCAGCTTTTATTCTTGAATATAGTGCTCAAACTCTTAACTTTTTTACACCTCTGTTCCTCAACTGTTAAAGTCAACCTGCAGTAATAGTACTGATGGCTAGTGAGCATCCACAAAGGAAATGAAGCTGAGGTTGTTGCTTTGTGAGCGGTGCGTATGGGACATTGTTAGCCATCCTTCAGGTGATGGGATACACAAATCTGAATGGCAGAACAGATCTGAGCAAGGAGGAAAGATCCAGAAATCACTGATAGTGACAGAGATGGGTGTCCATAGAAACCACCAAGACAGATGAAATGAATCAGAAAAGCAAGCACAGATGGAGGGGAAGGGATACTAGGAGACTGAGAATTTCGAGGGGCTGGTGGGAAAGGGTTCAGAAAGAAGAGGAAACAGCTACGCGAAGGTGAGCGCATAGCCAGAGGAAGAGGTGTGGAGAAGCCAGGTTCTGGAAAAGGTACAGGAAAGTGGGAGGAATCAGGAGTGCCAACATCAGAGAGCTCAAATAAGACAGGACCCGGGAATAGTCAGGAACTGTTCTTACTGAGTGCCCTGGCACAGGCCTGTAATCCCGCATTTGGGAGGTGGGGGCAGGAGCATCAGGAACTTAAGGTCATCCTGGGCTATCTGGAGTCCTAGACTGCCTGAGACCCTGTCTCAAACTAAATTTTGTTTGTTTGTTTTAAATATTTATTTACTTATTATGTATACAGTGTTCTGTCTGCGTGTATCCCTGCCCGACAAAAGAGAGCACCAGATCTCATTGTAGATGGTTGTGAGCCACCATGTGGTTGCTGGGAATTGAACCCAGGTCCTTTGGAAGAGCAGCCAGTGCTCTTAACCTCTGAGCCATCTCTCCAGCCCCTTGATTGGTTTGTTTCCAACTTGGAAGCTCGAGTTGCATTTTTTTTATGTTCAAAATCAAAATAAAATGTATCGGGGAATCCCTGATCCTCTGTTTCAGCTTTGAGTCCTAGGTTTAGCTTCCATTTGTTTGAGGTTTCCAAGCCTGGAAAGGCTCTTAATGGATTTCATATAATCCTTATGGGGCTTAATCCATGAGTTCTGGAGAATTTTCTCCCACAGGGAGACACTGGCCATTCGCCAGGGCCTTGGCATCATAGTTGTCCCTATGAATATGATATGAATATGATAATGCCCTGGCATTGTTTACTGACTCACTCCCTGCGACCTTGCAAGCTGTTTGAGTCTTCACAGCTCCTTTTGAGGTAAAAACTGCCACATCCTTGGGTTTTTGTTTTGTTTTGTTTTGTTTTGTTTTTTTGAGACAGGATTTCTCTGTGTAGTCTTGGCTGTCCTGGAACTTACTCTGAAGACCAGGGTGGCTTCAAACTCAGAGATCCACTTGCCTCTGCCTCCCAAGTACTGGGACTAAAGGTGTGTGCCACCACCATCCCTCAACAATCCTTGTTTTTTAATAGAGGAAACTAAGGTTCAGAAAGGTTAAGTGGCTCCCCAAATGCTACACGTCTAGAAAGCACTGAAGCTCATTCTTGAACCAGGTCTGTCTGAACCTACAGACCATGATAACACCATCCTGATGGTGCCAAGGCACACCAGTGGACTCCTCTCAGTTCCCCTGTCTACCACAGAGCTCCATGGGAGTCAAAAGTCCAGCCAAAATTGAAAAGTCAGAGACCGAGCAAAGGGAAGGTACTGGGCAAAGGGAAGGGACTGTAGTTGGTCAGGATATGATGCTTTGCTGAATCCAATTGAGATAGCAGTGTGGAGCCAGTGAGACAGCCCAGCAGGTGAAGGCACTTGCCCAGCAAGCCTGATGACTTGGGTTCAATCTCAGGAACCCACGTCAAAGTAGAAGGAGACTCCAGTTCATGGAGTTTTCATCTGCCCTCAACACCTGCACCGTGGCACTTACACACATCGTGCACATGCTTGTGTACAATAGCAGTAATAAAATTTAAATTTTACGCATCAGTATGTGTACCAGACCTTTCTGGTGACCATTTTGTGAGGAATGGAAGGCTATCTTCACACAGGCCTCCTGAATCTATCTTCCCTTTGGCAGGTACACTTTGACTCGCCCTGGAGACAAACCCTGCCCTCGAGTTGGCCACAGCTGCTCATATTTGCCCCCAGTTGGTGATGACAAGAGAGGGAAGGTCTTCATTGTAGGGGGAGCAAATCCGAACCAGAGCTTCTCAGATGTGCACACTATGGATCTGGGTAAGATGGATGCTGCAGAGCACTCTTAAAAATACTCGCTCTGCTGGGTGTGGTGGTACACATCTTCAAAACCAGACTAGAGAGGCAGAGGTAAGACAACCCCCAGGAGTTCAAAGCCAGCCTGACCTATATAGAAGTGCCAGGCCAGGAAAACATAGACCCTGTCCCAAAATAATAATAATAATTGTAATAATAATAATACTAACTCACACCAGGCACAGGGTTTTCCTTTTAAAGTAAGGAATATCTTTTCTGGCTCTCAAGGTCTCTGCTGACCTCTAGCACATGCCCACCTGTTCAGTGCATCCTTGTTGGGAAGAGTCTGTATGGAGCCCCAGTAATCTAGAAATTGGATATTTATTAACGGACAGTTAGGCATCAGCGACTCCCATGTCTCCTCCTGTCTCCTTTCGACATTCTAATTAATCATCAGGCCCTGACTTTGTCCCCTCCCTGTTTGTCCCTTTCCACAGTTCGCACCACTGGCTCCTAGCTGGGCTTTCGATCATTTTCACTCCAGTCTCCTGGCTTCCATGTTGGATCACTCCGCAGTGCATACTCCATACCTACCCAGAAAGTGTTACTCTTTGGTTTGGGGGAGTGTTATTTTGTTTTAATGTAGTCTCATGTGGCTCAGGCTGGACTTGAAATCACTGTGGATGTGGAACTAGCTGAGGAAGACCTTGAATTCCTGATTCTCTTGCCTTCATCTCTCAAGTGACTACTGTCACAAATCTGTGCTCCTTCACCTGGCCTATGTAAGCTGACGATCAAACTCTAGTTTTCATGTATGCTCTCCCATCTCCCCCTTCACAGATCTTAGCACATGTGATTATTTCGTGTACTTCTCACAGGAGTTTAAGGTTCTTGGAAACAGAGAGTGAGCCTTTTTTTTTTTTTTTTTTAAAGATTTATTTATTTATTATGCATACAGTGTTCTGTTTGCATGTATGCCTGCAGACCAGAAGAGGGAGCCTTTTTAACTCATTATTGTGTCCCCAGCAACTGCTAGAGCATGTAGCCAGAGCAAGCACTTTGTAATTTGATGAGTGAATGAATGAATGAAGCTGTGGACAAATTATTACTATGTGCTGTACTGCTATACAAAAGGCAGAAGTTGAAAATTAGTGAACCACATCTATGTTTGGCTATGGCCATGTAGCATTTCTGTTATAACACACACACACACACACACACACACACACACACACACACACACACACACATATATATTAGTGGGTTTTTTTGTTTTTTCGAGACAGGTCTTCTCTGTATATTCCTGACTGTCCTAGAACTCACTCTGTAGAACAGGCTGGCCTTCAACTCACAGAGATCCACCTGCCTCTGCCTCCCGAGTGCTGGGATTAAAGGCGTGCGCCACCACTGCCTGGCTATATATTAGTTTTTTGAGACAGAGTTTCTCTATGTAGCCTTGGCTATCCTGGATATGTAGACCATGTTGTTTTTGAACTGACAAAGATGTACCTGCCTCTGTCTCCCAAGTGTTAGGAGCTGAGATTAAAGCTGTGTGTTATCACAGTCCAAATATTAATATTTTATTGCATTTATTATTTTGTACATGTGCATAGCACACATAGAGATTAGAGGACAACTTTGTAAAATTTTAAAGATTTGCTGTATTGTAATTATTTATTTAATTAATTTTTTGAGACAAGGTTTCTTTGTATAGCCTTGGCTCTGTAGACCAGGCTGGCCTTGAACTCAGAGATCTACCTGCCTCTGGAGGGCTGGGATTAAAGGCACCACCATCACCCAACTGTTTTATTTATTTTTTTAAATAGAGATGATTGGCTTAAGGGATTCTTTTAAGAAAAATATTTTATGTGTATTAGTGTTTTACCTGCATGTGTGTATGTACAGTACAGAAAGAGTTGGAGCCATTGGAACTGGAGTTACAGAGAGTTGTGAGCTGCCCTGGTGCCAGGAGCTGAGCCTGGGCATCTGGAGTAACCACCCTCAACTGCTAAGCCATTAATCAGCCCGTTATCCTACTAGTTTCAATATGTATGTGTGCGGAGGGGTCTGGTGTGGTATATGCATGTGAGTGCCAATGCCCATGGAGGCCAGGAACATTGGGTCCCCTAGAGCTGGATTACATGGAGGCTGGGAGTTGAGCTTGGGTCGTCTGCAAGATTAGCAAGTGCCCTTAACAACTGAGCCTTCTCTCCAGCCCCAACTATGTCAATTTTAACATGCACACTTGATCTGTGAATGAGTCAAGATTGAAATAACAGAAATGAGGCTGTGAGCTGGCTTAGGGAGCCAAGGTACCTGCTGCCCAGCTCCTCTGAGTTTGATCCCTGAAACACACTTGGTAGAAGGAAGAAATCGAACTTTCCAAAGTTGTTCCCTGACCTCCATGCAGGAGCTGTGGCACAAATGTGTATACACATATGCGCACATAAGAAATAGACTAGAGGGGGCTAGAGAGATGGCTCAGAGGTTAAGAGCACTGGCTGCTCTTCCAGAGGACCTGAGTTCAATTCCCAGCACCCACTTGGTGACTCACAACCATCTATAGTGAGATCTGGTGCCTCTTCTGGCATAAAGTCAATAGAGCACTCATATACATAAAAAAAAAAAAAAAAAAAAAAAAAAGCCCTTAGTTTTAGCCGGGCGGTGGTGGCGCACGCCTTTAATCCCAGCACTCGGGAGGCAGAGCCAGGCGGATCTCTGTGAGTTCGAGGCCAGCCTGGGCTACCAAGTGAGTCCCAGGAAAGGCGCAAAGCTACACAGAGAAACCCTGTCTCGAAAAACCAAAAAAAGAAATAGACTAGAAAATTCTAAATTGCCGTGTTTGGGCTTCTGATAATAATTTTAGGAGGTCTGGCATCTAGCTCCTGCATGGCTACGTGGCAACAGTTATTTAGACCTGAGTGTCACCTATTGGCAAGGTTTCCACCCACAGAGTTACCACAGTCTCTGTTTATACTGTCCAGGCACTGGAATCTCTGCTCCCAGCACTGGGCCAAGATACCTTAAGTCTCTTTCAGCCCTCAAGAAGCTTACCTTCTAGCTCAGTTATATCGTGACTGACTGACTGTCTGTCTGTCTGTCTGTGACAGCATCTTCCTATGCCTAGATTCTCTGTGTAGCCCAGACTGGTCTCAAACCCACAACCCTTCTGCCTCTACTTTCCAAGTACTGGGGTCCTGGACCACCATACCAGCTTCAATTACATCTTTATTACAAGTTATCAGTACCATGGTGCCCTCAACAAGGCCATAGAGATTATTAACCGGCTTCATTTGCAGTTGTGATTCCTAACAACAGCATGATACTTGTAAGGTCCTAGATTAGAGATTTGCTAACTAAAAGAATTAGTGGGTTTAGGCATCATTTCTCTGTTTGCCCAGCGATCACTTAGTCGGGCCACTTAAAATGGTGGTGGGGGAGACTGAGATTTATATAGATATCAGGAGTGTTTTTCAGGATCTAAGGACAAAAAATAGCAGGCCAGGCTGCTGAGAGAGTGGAAACTGGATCCAAGCGGCCCATTGGAGTCAAGCAGCTGCCTCTAGTCCTGTTAGTTACGACTAGAAAGTTAGTGTGTCCATATGTCACCTGGACTCTGTGGGAGGAAGAATGGAGACAGTTTCCGTGAAAGAGGTTTCATGGGCCAGGCAGACAGCCTGCAAGTGTGTGCTAGAGAACATTTCGGTATTTCGGTTTGAACATGTTCCCTTTAAGGACTGACGACGACGGTTGGTCATTTATGATTTCCCTCCCCCCCCCACACCCCGAGTTTGTCAGCCAGAATTACCAGTTGGCAGTCCCATCTAAGGACTGGGCAAATGTTTCCTAGGAACGCAGCGGTGGGACATGGCCGCCAGGGAAGGTCTCTTGCCTCGGTATGAGCATGCCAGCTTCACCCCCTCCTGCAAGCCTCACAGCATCTGGGTGTTCGGGGGTGCGGACCAGTCAGGAAACCGAAACTGTCTGCAAGTCTTGGATCCTGGTGAGTAGACATAGGTTATTTTCTTCTTATCATACACATATGGATGCAGTTATGTTACAGTATATTTGAATTGCCCTAATTAACCTATTTTACCTTGCTGACCTCATAGAAATAGGAATTTTTAGATTTTTTCTTTTTGTATTTTTAAATTCATGTGTGTGTGTGTATGTGTGTGTGTTTGTGTGTGTGTGCATGAGAGAGACCATACACATTCAGTAGTATACATGTGGAAGCCAAGTGCCTTTTTTCACCATGTGGGTCCCAGGGATCAAATGTACCCGGCTAGCCCAGGACTCCTGACCTGCTCTCAAGTGATGAAATTATAGGACTGTCCCACACAAGGTGCCAGACAGGGCTGAGTTTCCTTTTGTGTCAAGTATTGAAATTTCTTGGCAGTGTTTGAAAAGTGTCTTCTTAGGTGTCCGTTGATTGGTTTGAGTGTTTGTTATCCTCCCTGCCCTCCCTCTCTGCAATGTAAATGCGTTTTTAAAAAATACATTTTTTTTTTTTTTTCGAGACAGGGTTTCTCTGTGTAGCCCTGGATTTCCTGGAACTCACTCTGTAGACCAGGCTGGCCTTGAATTCACAGAGATCCGCCCGCCTCTGCCTCCCGAATGCTGGGATTAAAGGTGTGCGCCACCACTGCAGGACTAAAATACTTTATTTTTAAATTTTATGTGTATGAGTGTTTGGGCTGCGTGTATATCTATGCACCATGTGCATGCAGTGCCTGAAGAGGCCAGAAGAGGGCGTCAGATCCCCCCAGAGCTGGAGTTACACACAACCACCATGTAGATGCTGGGAGACAAACCTTTGGAAGAGCACAAGTGTTCTTACCTGCTGTGCCATCTCTCTAGACTCCTCTCTCTCTCTCTCTCTCCTCTGTCTCTGTCTCTGTCTCTGTCTCTGTCTCTGTCTCTCTCTCTCTCTCTCTCTGTCTCTCTCTCTGTCTCTCTCTCTGTCTCTCTCTCTGTAACCCAGGCTGTCCTGGAACTCTTTATGTAGACCAGGCTGGCCTTCAGCTCAGAAATGTACCTGGCTCTGCCTCCCAAGTGCTGGGATTAAAGGCAAGCATCATCATCATGGCTGAAATGTAAATGCTTTGAGGATAAGGGTTTGTTCACTGTTCCTAGGGTCCAGAACACAATCGGATACAGAGTAGACACTCCACTGGCCTCCTGGTCTATGTTAAAGCCATTTTGTCTGGAACACTATTATAGAGTATGGTGGTTAAGCTGGGTCTGGTGGTATAGGCCTGCTATCCCAGCTGCTTGAAAGGCTGAGGCAGAAGGATCACAAGTTCAAGGTCACTCTGGGCTAGAGTATGATGGTTGACAGTTCACATCAGGCCAGAGTGTAGGCAGGCATAGAGTGCTTGCCTGGCATGTATGAATCTCTTGGTTTGATTCCCAGAACATGGGGGAGAAGTAGCTCAGGTCAGAATCTGTGCTTTGCTATACACTATCCATGGCACTATTCACCATGACCTTGAGCAAAACCTCTGTCTCAGTTTTCTTTCCTGTCACGTTGGGTAGTAATAGTTCCTCCCTTGTGAATTTGTTAAAGATTTAAATTAGCAGCTAACACTCACTCTCTGTTAGTTGCTGTATTGATCCAGACAGAATTTGAAAAGTGGAAATCAGTTCTAGAAGTCCGCCTTTAAAAAGACACCAGGCAGTGTAGCCAGGCAGTGGTGGTGCATGCCTTTAATCCCAGCACTTGAGAGGCAGAGGCAGGCGGATCTCTGTGAGTTCAAGGCCAGCCTGGGCTACAGAGTGAGATCCAGGACAGGCACCAAAGCTACATAGAGAAACCCTGTCTCAAACAAAAAAAAAAAAAAAAAAAAGAAAAAGATGGCAGTGTGTGTGTGTGTGTGTGTGTGTGTGTGTGTGTGTGTGTGTGTGTGCGCGCGCGCTCTAGAGCCCAGGGCTCCTGCCTCAGATTCCCAAGTGCTGAGTTCACAAGTGCTGGGACCCTTTCTTTTAGACTCTGGGTGATGGCATTTATTTAAAAACAAAACCCACAGTGGTACACGCCTATAATCCCAGCATTCTGAAGGCAGAGGCAGGCAGATCTCTGTGAGTTTGAGGCCAGCCAGGGCTGTGTAGTGAAACACTGTCACGAGACAAAAAACAAAAACAAACAGTGAAACTCTGGGAAGTTCCTATCAGAGAAATTGATTTGATTTGCTATTTTTGTGGAATATTGTGTGAATGTATGTCACTATGATTGGTTTAATAAAGAAGCTGACTGGTCAGTAGCTGGACAGGATAAGGTTAGGGAGTAGAGCCAGACCAAGAGAATGCTGGGAAGAAGAAGGAGGAGTCTGAGGAGTCACGAGCCAAGACTCGGAAGAAGCGACGTAAAAAGTACGTAGATGAGGTAAACGAGCCTCGGGGCAGCACATAGATGAATAGAAATGGGTTAAGTTACAAGAGCTTGTTAAAGACAAGTCTTAAGCTATTGACCAAGCATTTATAATTAATAAGAAGTCTCTGTGTGGTTATTTGGGAATTGACTGTCAGGACAGGAAAGTCTGCCTACATTTTTTTATTTATTTTGGTTGTTTGTTTTTGCTGATTGTCTTGCTAGAGAGTATAGGCTCTCGGTCTTCCTGCCTCATTCTCCCGAGTGCTGCAGTTACAAGCGTGAGCCTCTGTACCCAGGATTTAGTTCTGTCATTCAAACCCTGCCCGAGATCTGCAGCTCTAGAGAGGGTTCATTTCGTTCTGATGTAGGCCGAGGCCTGTTCCATCTGCACATTCTTGTTGACTCCCACATGTATTGTTCATGCCTTGTGTAGCATTTTGTATGTTGAATGCAGATCTTTTGCAAAAGACAGTTTTTCTAACAAGAACTAATACTTGGTTGTGGTGGAGCTAGTGTGGGAGTCTGACAGATCAGGCCTCAATCCTCTGCTCCACTCACCAGAGGCCTTCAGAAGCTTCTGATCTCCCATACAGCTCTCAGGGGTGAGTGAGCACCATGGAAAGGACCAAGAGCTTAGTTTTTTTCTGTCCCGCCAGCCAGCTCCCAAATTTTGACATGGAGAGTTCTTATTAATTATGAAAGCTCGGCCTGTAGCTTAGGCTTGTTCCTAACTAGCTCTTATATGTTAACCCATTTATATTAATCTACATTCTATCACATTACCTCTCTCCTGTTTCCTCTCTGTGTCTCCTGGGATCTCCTCAAGTCTCGATTATCTCCTCTTTCCTTTCTCTCTTTCCGGAAGTACCCCCAGCCTAGCTATTGGCTGTTCAGCTCTTGATTAAACCAATCACAATAATATATCTTCACACAGTGTACAAATATCCCACAACTACTAACCTGTGATTCTTAATTATCTTAATAGTTTTTAAGGACTAGAACTTTGCATTACATTTTAAAATGAGCTGTATAGGTACAACACCCCAAACAGAGTAAAAACATATATACAGTAAAACAAAAATAACCTTAAATTTGTATAAACATATAAAAATCCATATCAATTTAAAATATTTGAGACTAGTAGTTGTTTAAAAGTAGACTCGGCAGGCCTGGAGAGATGGCTCAGAGGTTAAGAGCACTGGCTGCTCTTCCAGAGGTCCTGAGTTCAATTCCCAGCAACCACATGGTGGCTTATAACCATCTGTAATGATATCTCCATACATGATAATAAATAATATATACATATATTATATAATATATAATATACATAATAATAAATCTTTTTAAAAAGTAGACTCAACAATCCACCCTTTTATCCCGTCATTCTGTATCCCCGATTTTTACCTTCAGTAACAGATCCCTGAATCTAATCTCCTTTGTTCAGCTTTTTTCCTGATCATGACCAACGACGACTTGTAACCCACCCCCCTAAATGATTACAAACATCCATAACCCACCAAACAACCAAAAACCACCCACCCCACCTCTTGGCAAGGGGGGTGTCATGTTCTCTAGACTGCTTCCTGTTGTCTGGCTTGATGACGTCCTCAGAGGACCCTGAGAAAACTGGGATAATTGTCAAGTCCTGAGAGAGTTAGCTGTGTCATTTGTTGTTTAGTCTCCATGTGATGGGAAAGTGCAGGGCTTCTCTGAAGTCCTGGCTGGTTAGTTTGTGAGGCTGGACCGTCTCAGCCAGTAGCCCTGAAGTTGTTTTGGATGCAGAATTTTGAGGTAACTGCAACAGAGGCACTCTGAGAGGCTGGATCACCTGGGCTATCTGTTTTCATTGGTGTCTGGTTTCTGAAAACACACATACTTTTAAAGTTAACTTACATATCTGCATTAACACAAGTATGAAATATGCAGTGTGCACAAGTCAGTCAAAGATGATTTTTTGTTTTACGTTTGAGCAGGTAGAAGGCATCTGTCAACTTTATAAGTCTTTTTGAACTGTATAACCAAAGTTCTATCTATGCCATATGAAAGGATAGCATTTAATAATAAGTCATGAGGATTCTGTAGCCAACAAGATTTATTATATTTCATTCAGTCTCATAGCTGTTCCCGTAGCATAGGGATCAGCATATATGTCAACTGCCCTGTGGTCTTTCTTGGTTTCTTTGTTTATGTCTGTAGCCAAGATTTTCAGGAGGTGTTCCCCAATCAAATCTGATCTTTATTAATTTTGAAGAGAGCCATATCTTTTTCTTTCCTGTGGAAACAAAGGCACAACCTCTCCTCCAATGCAACATATTTTTTTACTTTCATCTTAAAGTTAAGACATTCTTAAAATACATATGTTGGTTTAATGTGGCAGTTTCCATAATCCAGTGTCTCTCGGCAGCTGTTGGTTTTTGTCCATTAGCATTTAAAAAACTCAAAGTCAACAAAGCACCATACAGGATCTAGATGCTCTGTGTATTTACATCTTTTCGTGGCTTATTCTTTTTATATTACTTTACTCTTTCTTTAAAGACTTTATTTTTAAACTATTTTTTTTCTATGACTGTCTATACCCCTTTTTTTACTGTATCTGTTTAAAGGTTTTCCTGTCTGGACCACTTTCCTGTGCACCTTCTCCAACCTCAAGACAAACCCTACACAGCCCCACCAGCTGTGTGCGGCTCTGGCAGCTAGCTCTGCACCCCCTGGATTCCCTGAGAGCTTAGCATCATACCAACCTGTTTACCACTCCAGCTCTGGGAAGCTGCTGTGTCCACGAGGTGGCAGGCACTTTTACCTAGCACACAGGTTGCTCAAGTGCTCTGCTGCACAGCAGGGCCTCTTAAAAGAGCCCTGCCTCTATACACCAAGCCTACCCAAGAGACCGCTTTCTCAGGCCCCATGTGGATATTTGGGCCCCACATTGGACGCTATATGTAACGAGTCTTTTTCTGTCCCACCAGCCAAATATTGACATGGAGACTTCTTATTAACTATGAAGCTCAGACTATAGCTTAGGCTTGTTCCTAACTAGCTCTTATATGTTAATCCATTTGTATTAATCTACATTCTATCACATGGTGTTACCTCTCTCCTATCTTGCACCCCTTGTTTCCTCTCCATGTCTCCAGGGGTCTCCTCAAGCCTCGGTTATCTCCTCTTTCCTTTCTGCCAGGAAGTCTGACCTATACCTCCTGCCTTGCTATTGGCCATTCAGCTCTTTATTAAACCAATCACAGTAATATATATTCACACAGTATACAAATATCCCACAACAGCTCAGGCCCACCATCTTGCATGAAAAGGTGCTGAGTTAGTGCATCTGTTCCTGTAACATTCATGTTTTATTTTGAAAGGAAAGGAACTCTGTACACACCCCATGTGGTGACATATGTTTTTTGTTTTTAAGACAGAATGGTAGAAAAGGCACAGACCATGATGTTATTAAAACTGTTCAAATTGGAGATGGAGAGATGGCTCAGTGGAGCACTGGCTGCTCTTCCAGAGGTCCTGAGTTCAATTCCCAGCAACTACATGGTGGCTCACAACCATCTATAGTGGGATCTTATGCCCTCTTCTGGCATTAAGGTGTACATGCAGATGGAGCACTCATACATAAATTAAGTAAATAAACCTTTAAAGAACAAAACTGTTCAACCTGGGGCTTGAAAGATAACTCAGCAGTTAGAGCACTGGCTGTTCTGACAGGGGACATGTTTGATTCCCAGTGCCCACATGGAGGCTCACAACTGTCTGTAACTCCAGTCCAGGGGATCTGATGCCCTCTTCTGGCCTCTCCGAGCACCAGGCAAAACATATATATAGATCCAGGCAAAACAGTCATACACATAAAAATAAAATAAATATAAAAAAGGGGGCTGGAGAGATGGCTCAGTGGTTAAGAGCACTTGCTGCTCTTCCAGAGGACATGAGTTCAATTCCCAGCACCCACATGGTGGCTCACAAACATCCATAGTGGGTTCTGATGCCCTCTTCTGGCATAAGGTGTACATGCAGATAGAGCACTCATAAATAAATAAATCCTTAATATATATATATATACATATATATGTGTGTGTGTGTGTGTGTGTGTATATATATATATATATATATGGAATGTATCTAAAGCCCAACAGCCATTTGCTAGTCATACCACCTTAAGCAAGTAAAAAAGTAGTTTGGCTTCAGTTCCCACTGAGAAGGGAGAAACTGACATTTATTTGTTACTTTTTACTCAGTAGGGTTATTATTAGTGCCTCTACAATTGCAGCGATATTGTCTATTTTTTCTATATTGTCTATATTGTCTTTTTAATGTAGTTTATGTATGTGAGTGGTCTATCTGCATGTATGCCTGCAGGCCAGAAGAGGGCATCAGATCCCATTACAGATGGTTGTGAGCCACCATGTGGGTGCTGGGAATTGACCTCTGGAAGGGAGCCAGTGCTCTTAACCTCTGCCATCTCTCCAGCCAGTCTTTCTTTTTCTAGGCCACATTTTCTAGGCAGCTTGGCACATCTGGCCTCTGGCATCTAGTGGGAATGGATTTTAGCAGATGCTGAGCTCCTGCATGGCAGAGGCAGAGCTGTCAGTGGAGTGGGAGGACCCGCTCCTCATTGAACTCACGGCTTCTCAGCTTTGGGGAATTTGGTCTGTCTGGACGACCTCTGACATCATCCTGTTCTTCCTTGGCTTTGGAGAGTATGAGTCCCCTGCCTGAAGTTGTGCCATGCTGTGCTCCTTAGAGAGTAGGGTACAGAGGTGACCCTGCTAAGCCCTACCAAGAGTCACGGGCAGGGTCTGCAGATGTGGATCAGTGAGAATGCAAGGCACAGATCCCCAGTACCTCAGGAAATTAACAGTAAAGTCAGAAGGCCCTCACCCAGGTCTTGCTTATTTTCTCTCTGGACTAGAAACCAGGACTTGGACCACACCCGAAGTGAGCAGCCCGCCACCATCCCCAAGAACATTCCACACATCGTCGGCAGCGATTGGAAACCAGCTGTACGTTTTTGGGGGAGGAGAGCGAGGTGCCCAGCCTGTGCAGGACGTGAAGTTGCATGTGTTCGACGCAAGTATGACTGCGGGTGTGGGGTGCGGGGCTCCTCACCTGACCAGGGCCGCCTCAGCCTCCCTTATCTCTCACACAGGAAATAGGGTCTTGAAAAAAGATTTGAACTAAGTAGACTACTTGCCTAGCATGCACCAAACCCCACCCACATTAGTCCCTATCACCACACAAACCAAGCATGATGGCAGGGGTGTGTCCATAATCCCAGCAGGTGAGATCAGGCCTAAATGAGGATACATGAAACCTGTCACATACGAAATACATCAAGGGGGCTGGAGAGATGGCTCAGCGGTTAGAGCACTGACTGCTCTTTCAGAGGTCCTGAGTTTAATTCCCAGCAACCACATGGTGGCTCACAACCATCTGTAATGAGATCTGGTGCCCTCTTCTGGCCTGCAGACAGTACACTGTACACATAATAAATAAGTAAATCTTTAAAAAATACACATAGTTTTTTTTTTAGGGAATTTCTTTAAATTAGTCAATCAATCAATCAATCAATCAAGCTTGGTTGATTGGTGCATGTCTTTAATCCTAGCACTCTGAGGCAGAAGCAGGCAGATCTCTGGTCTACATGGTTCCAGGCCAGCCACGGCTACACAATGAGACCCAATCTCAGAAAACAAACACAGTGCCCCAGAGACTGCGGCTCCGGGCTGAACGCAGCTCGGTGGGGACGCATGTGCTCGGTCTGTGCAGCCCTGCACTTAATCTCCTGTACCCCTGGAAAACAAACCGCCACAGCAAAGAGAGAGAAAAGAAAAGAAAAGAAAACGACTCCCAAGGCTTTTTGCAGAAGCAGCACACACCTTTATGTTAACTTTGGGGCAGTTCTGGGTTAAAGCTTACGGGACACATTTTTCAATCCAAAGCCAGAAATAGCTTCCTAGTGCCCAGACTTTAGGGCCAGCCTGCCAGTCACTGGCTTTGCGGTCTCCAGCCCAGAAGTGTCCAAGTAGAGGTTGGGTGGTAGGATGGAGATCTCCTTGGCTGGTAGGTCAGAGGGAAGGCTCCAAGATCACTCTTGGAGCATCTTTGCTCTGGAGGTGCCTGAAGAAGCATGCCACCTGGTGTCAGTGTGTTTACTTTCGTAGACACTTTGACGTGGTCTCAGCCAGAGACACATGGAAGTCCTCCGTCTCCCCGGCATGGCCATGTGATGGTGGCAGCAGGGACAAAACTCTTCATCCATGGAGGCTTAGCAGGGGACAAGTTCTTTGATGACCTCCATTGCATTGATATAAGTAAGTATGTTGGAGGGCCAGGGGGCTGATGTGTTCAAAATTCTTTAAAATGCGCTTGGAACGAATTCTTCTTTGCTCTTCTGTGTTGGTAACTTGAGCGGCTGTTAGAGTCTTTCCTGGACTCCATGAAGCAAGGCCTGGATACTCAGGAACACAAGGCTAGAGAGAGCTCAGCCGTGAGGCAATGGACTGCACCTTCCCGCCACCCACAGGGCAGGGGGGTGACCAGACAAAACACTATACACCCCAAATAAGCGAGTTAGGTGGGTAGATAGACAGACAGACAGACAGACCTGAAGAAGAAGGAGAAAGGAGAAAACATATAATTATCAACTGGGACTGGAGAAATGGCTCAGAGGTTAGAAGCACTTACTGCTCTTACAGAGTACCCAAGTTCGATTCCCTGCACCCACTGGCAGCTGCAGCGTATTCAGAACTTCTGGTCTCAGCTGACCCCTGCACGTACCCACACGTAGACACACACACAGGCACATAATTAAAAATAAGAAATTTCTAGCTGGGCGGTGCTAGTGCACGCCTTCAATCCCAGCACTTGGGAGGCAGGGGCAGGAAAGTCTCTGAGTTCGAGGCCAGCCTCGTCTACAGAGTGAGTTCCAGGACAGCCAGGGCTACACAGAGAAACCCTGTCTTGAAAAACCAGAAAACAACAACAACAAAATATTTTATGTGTAAGGGCATTTTTCCTGCGTGTATGTCTGTGTACCAACCACATGTATGTAGTACCTAAAGAGGCCAGAAGAGGGCATTGGATTCCCTGGAACTGGAGTCACAAGTGGTTGTAGGTGCTGGGAATTAAGCCTAGAACTTCTAGAAGAGCCAAGCCAAATAAATACATCTTTTTAAATTTTTTCTTTGCTTTTTTTTTTTTTTTTCTGAGACAAGGTCACACTTGGCTTGCCTAGAGCTCTCTATATAGCCCAAGCTGGCCTTGAACTCCTAGAGATCCGAGCCTCAGCCTCCAAAGTGTTGGGATTAGAGGTGTGCACCACCATAGCCGACTTCATCTATTTTTAAAAAAGAGCAAAATAAAAATAATGCAGTCATTCCCCAACACTGAGAGCATGAGCGGGCCTGCCATCTCCTCCGGCCCCTGCCTGCCCGCCTGCCCGCCTGCCCGCCTGCCCGCCTGCCCATTGCACTTGCCTGCAGCTTGTATGCCCAGCCAGAGCTCTTTAGGCTTTGGCTCCTGTTCCGTTTCTGGTCCAGATAATGGAGGTGGATGACCAGAACTGCATGTTTGCTGGGCTGCATGGTCAAAAGCCCTGGAAAAAGGAAAGCTAGAGAGAACCTGAAGCTTGTCTTCATTTCTAGGGGCTGTACTCTTCTGAGTCTTTCTGGCTGTGAGCTGCATGGGGCAGGGACCTCCTCTTTCCTTGGTGAAGTTGCTGGAGGGTGGGTGAGTGCTTGTCTGCTCTTGAGTGATGGATGAGTAGATGAGCACGGTCTGCTGGCTCTAGACCACAGAACAAGGGGTGATGGGCAGAAGACACAAGAACTCCTGTGCAAAGCACTGTGTCCTCCGAAGCAGGCTCACTGACTGGGATTCCTCCATTGGCTACAATCAGGGATTTCTTTTTCTTTTTTGTTTGAGACAGAGTCTAGCTGTGCAGCCCAGCCTCAAACTGGCGATCCTCCTGCTGAGTTCAAGGGCTAGAGTCATGCCCTCCCATGCAGTTTCAAATAGGACAGGATTGGTTCTTGTTGTTTTGAGACAAGGTCTTTCTATGTAGCTTTGGTTGTCATGCAACTCACTATGTAGACCAGGCTGACCTCAAACTTACAGAGATCTGCCTGCCTCTGCCTGTGAGTGCTGGGGTTAAAAGTGTGCGCCATCGTGCTTGGCCTGATAATTTTCTTAAACTGCCCATTTTCCTGTGCCGAGGAAGTACTTCCTAGCTATTGTTTTCTTCCTTCCCAAATAGTTTCTAATTTAAAACCCAGTGGTATGTATTTACTTGGAAAACATGCAGACATCTCTGCAAAAGTAGTGTTGGGAATGCGTGCTGAGTCAGCGAGATGCAGCCTAGAGGACACAGGCCATGCAGCCTCGGTGTGACCAGCTCTGCCACTTTCAAGTCACTCTGTCTTCTCACCCTGTGTGCTCATCTATAAGAAGGAAGGATGTAGATAGATGCAGATAGAAGCGATAGCAGCTCATAGGGCTGAACAAGAGTTCTCGAGTCATAGCCAGCACTCACGAAACTTGCTGTTGGAGGGGGGGGCTGGAGAGATGGCTTGGCATCTTCCAGAGGACCTGGGTTTGATTCCTAGCACCCTCCCGGCAGCTCACAGCCAGTGCAATTTCCAAGGCATGAAACACCCTCCTCTGGCCTCCATGCACGCATGTGGTGCACAGACAAGCATGCAGGCAAAACATACATATGCATAAAATAAAATCTTTAAAAAATGTATTTAAAAGATGCACACACAGATGGACATGTGTGCCTGCATATTTGTGTACATGCACACAGTGAACAATTAAAGATGACATCACTATTAAAAGTTTTACATTTCTCAGCAAACTCCAAAGAACATCAGAATCCCACGAGATGCTTTTTAAAACTGTAGATCCCTTGCTCCAGATCAGAGAATTATTCAAGCTGCCCTCCCTCAAAAACAGTTCTGCACACTGAACTTTCTCTGTTACTTCTTAGAGATTTCCTGTGACTCATGCATGGTGTTGAACACCTTTAATCCCAACATTCGGGAGGTAAAGGCAGAAGTTCAAGGCCAGCCCTGTTTACATAGGGCATTCCAGATCAGGGCTACCTAGTGAAACCCTGTCTCAAAAACACCTCCCTGTGGATGACCCTCAGTAATCATTTTGCAGCAGATAATTTGAAATCACATTTTAGCTCATGGGCAAAACTCTTTCTTGTGACAGGTGACATGAAATGGCAGAAGCTTAGTCCCACAGGGGCTGTTCCAGTAGGCTGTGCTGCCCACGCCGCCGTGGCTGTGGGAAAGCACGTGTATGTGTTTGGAGGAATGACTCCCACCGGAGCACTGAACGCAATGTACAGGTATCACACAGGTGAGCAGGCCTCACTCCTGGTCTTTAAACAAATACAAACATTCTTTGAAAAGTGTTGCAGAATTTTGTTGGGTCGTGGTGACACATGCCTTTGATCCCAGCACTTGGGAGGCAGAGGCAGGTGGATCTCTGTGAGTTTGAGGCCAGCCTGGTCTACAGAGTGAGATCCAGGACAGGCACCAAAACTACACAGAGAAACCCTGTCTCGAAAAAAACAAAACAAAAAACCAAAAAAACCCACAGAAGACCATGGCCTCTCTGTGTAGCCAGGCTTGTCTGAAAATGGTAGCAGTCCTCCTGCAGTGCCTCCTGAGCACTGGAATGGCGGGTGTACACTGGCCCAGCCTGTTCTCCCTTTATTTCCTCTTTGTGGATTAACTAATGCAGAAAATCATCGACTGTTTCTGGAAACATCTGTCTCTGTCCCCCTTACTTAGAAAAGCAGCATTGGACGTCACTTCAGTTCGATACTTTCCTACCCGCTGGACGACTGGACCACTCCATGTGTGTCGTTCCATGGCCAGTGACATCCTCCGACTCGGAGTCTGGCATCCTCAACCGCGAAGCTGAGGAAGGGGATGCTTCGGACAAACACGGGACTCAGGGTGGTGGGTCACCTGAGGAGAGCCAGGCCAACGTGTTGCTCTGTTTTGTGTTTGGTGGGATGAATACAGAAGGGGAGATCTATGACGATTGCATTGTGACTGTAGTTGACTAATAAAATCCATGTTTTATTACTTGTTACTTTTTACAAAAGTGAGACCTCTGAGAGTCACAGTGCGAAATACTCTGCACTGTGTATTCCCTTAACCAGAAGGGTGTGCACACCCGTAGTTGCACGTGGGAGGTGGAGGCAGAGGGTCAGGAGGAACTGTCACCTTCAGCTGCATAGTAAATTGGAAGGTCACCTGGGCCACATGAAATGCTGTCTAAAAAAAAAGGACTTTGAGATGGCTGAGCAGATAAAGGTACTTACTCTTAAAACCTGACGACGTGAGTTCAAAACCAGGAACCCACATGATAGAGCATCCACTCCCGGAAGTTGTCCTCTGACTTCTACATTGCAACAGTGAGTATCTATTCACATACTACATGGATAAGTGGATGGTTGTTTTTTTTTTTTTTTAATCAAAAAATAATATATCCATCTTGTGTGGTGCACATCTTTAATCCCAGCACTCAGGAGGCAGAGGCCCGTGGATCTCTGTGAGTTTGAGGCCACCCTGGTCTACAAAGTGAGTTCCAGGACAATCCAGAGCTGTTACATAGAGAAACCATGTCTTGAAAAAAAAAAAGGGCTGGAGAGATGGCTCAGTGGTTAAGAGGTCCTGAGTTCAATTCCCAGCAACCACATGGTGGCTCACAACCACTTGCAATTAGATCTGGTGCCCTCTTCTGGCCTGCAGGGACACATGCAGACAGATCACAGTATACATAATAAACCTTAAAAAAAAAAAAAATATATATATATATATATATATTTGTATATATATATTTGTATATGTGTGTATACATATACATATACATATACATATATATCCCCCCAAACACCAATAGACAAGTGTTTAGGAAGGTCTGGAGTGTAACTAAGTCTGTGGGCCAAAGCTCAAATGTTAAAATTGATCTTGTTCACTTCATGCTGGGTCAAGAAGTATATATATTCTCCATCTTGCACTTAACTTTGGTACTGGATAGCCCAGTGCAAACAATTCCATTATAAAGTTTTACTAGCAATAAAATCTGTGGATACCCAAACTAGGTATTGGAGTAAACATTTATCAGTTGGAATCTCTTTAATATGCATTAGCTAGTCATTAGAAAAAAGTGCAGACAAGGGGCTGGAGAGTTAGCTCATCAGTTAAGAGCCTGTTCTCACAGAGAACCCAGGTTCAGTTCCCAGGACTCATGTGGTAGCTGACAACTAATTCCAGTTCCAGGGGATCCTATGCCTGACACTCTACAGACAAAACACTGATTGGGTGTTCATGCCATTGTATGATGTGTGCATCCCCTAAACCTTGTTCAGACTTGGGTACATTACCCATCTTTAAAAAAAAAAAAAAAAAAAAAAGGCAGAGTATGGTGGTATATGCCTTTAATCCCAGCCTAGTCTACATAGTGGGACCCTTTAAAAAAAAAAAATAAAAAAAATAAGAGTGCTAGCGCCCAGTGGTGGTGGCACATGTTTTTAATCCCAGCACTCAGGAAGCAGAGCCAGGCAGATCTGTGTGAGTTCGAGGCCAGCCTGGTCTACAGAGCAAGATTCAGGACAGGCACCAAAACTACACAGAGGAACCGTGTCTCGGGGTGGGGCGGGGGAGTAGTGCTAGCAATGGAGACAAGAGTGAAGATCGCCCCTTGTCATTATTCCTATTCACCCCTTGACCCAGCATGAAGCGAACAAGGTCAGTTTTAATATTTGACTGGGCATTGGCCCCATGACTTAAGATGCATCCAGACCTGCCTAAACACTTGCCTATTAGTGTTTTTGAGGCAAATATCTGACAACCTAGACTGGCTGAAAACTTGTCATCCCCCTGCCTCAGCATCCCAGAGTGCTAGGATTACAGGCATGTTCTATCATGCCCCTGCCCATCTCTTTTTTAGGGTAAGGTGGACAGATGAGGTAGGATCTCACACTGTAACCTCAACTTGCTGTAACCCTCCTGCCTCAGCCAGCTTCCTGAATGTGGGAATTACTGGCATGAGCTACCATGCTGTGTTCAAAATATATCAGACAATGCACAAATATGAATTCCAAGAGTAAGACAGAGTTGTTGTCAGGTCCCCAAATCTACCATTCTTACTAAGTTAACATTACAGCTGGTTGCCCAGTTACAAAACACCTGTCTTTGGGCAGCACTGAATTTCATGTTAGCACTGGACAAAGTCCTCATTGATGAGACTGATTACCTAGCTCATCCCTTTTCTGAGGAAGCCCATCTATGAACAATCCTCAACCAGTCCTTGTAATTCCAGGGTTACTATATACAACCCACCACAGTACCAGTAAAACACTTCAGAAGTGGGAGTTCTCACCAAATTAGGCTTCATAAGCCATCGTGAACTACATAACTGAAGCTGGTATTTCATTAATGCTCCTGCTTCCAGCCTGAGCCACTACACACAGTATGCAGTACTGGGTTTCGAATCCAGGGCTTCTTACATGCTGGACAAGTGCTCTCTCTACCAACTGAAGTAAATCCTCAGGCCATTATGTATTTGTTTTGCTTTTTGGAGACAGGGTCTCTACATAGCTCTGGCTGGCCTAGAGCTCACTAGGTAGAGATGGCCTCTAGGATGGCCTCAGAGATGCTCCTGAGTGGTTCTGTCAAAGGTGTGTATAAGTGTGTACTTTCTAACTATCAATCTTAAAATATAAATTACAAAAGTACTCCCCAGTGATAGGAAGTGTTTAGCACATTCAAGGCCCTGGAGTGTGAACTCACACCACAAAGAAAAATAAAATATAAGTGTGTAAGTCATCAGGTCAATTTTTTTTTCTCCAGCGGAGTATTAAACCCAGGGCTTCACACTTGCTATGCATTGCCCTAGCATGGAGCATATATGACAGCCTCGGTTCCCTAGGTGGGTTTGGACTTGCCATTCTCCTACCACAGCTGGAGTTACAAGCCTGGCACATCACCAACTCATAAGAGAATCCATAGCCCCACGGCATTACTAGTTAACAAATATCAAAGGGCAGTGGTGGTGCACACTTTGAATCCTAGCACCTGCAAGGTAGAGACACATGGATCTGAATTTGAGGCCAGCCTGTCTAAGTGTGAGTTCTAAGACAGCCAGGGCTACAAAGAGACCTTATCTTGAAATACTGAAACCAAATAACAAAACACCCCCAGAAAGCAATTTTACAAAGGGGAAGGAAGATTTTAATCATGTAAGAGACTGGACTTGGGCTCTGTGTCATGACCTTGCCTAGGGGAGAAGCAAGCACACAGCCTTTGCCTTGCTGTAAAGACAAACTCCCAGGAAGTGGAACCACCCGGCAACATCACAAGCCCCCCCCCCCCCCCCCACTTCCCTGCCCAACAGACAAACAGACACACCTGAGAATCCAGCCTTAAATTTTAGTTATCTAAAATAAAAGACAGATAATTACAAGCTTCTCACAAAAATTAGACCAGTGTAAATAACAAACATTTATTGGTGTCACTTATGGTAGAAAAAAAGTTCCTACACCAGATGTGCATGACCCAATTGTTAAATAGAACATTTCCAAGGTGAACACACACCCTGACCTAGCTTTTCCCCAATTTTTAAAATAGCCAATTCCTCCTTCCCCGACCCCAAGACATGTGAGCAACTGCTAATGAAAAGCAGTAAACAGCCACTTGGGCTATAGCATTTTCAACTCCACTCTGAGGTGAAGATTCCAATTACATTCGAGACTTAAGTTCTCTCAATTTTCTCCTAACGAAAGTTCCTGAGTCCAGTATTTACAATATTACAGCCCTAGCAGATCAGTGCCCTACAACTCATCTTTTTCTGATGTATCCTCTTCACCAGTTGGGGGAGGGCCTGCACTTCCATAGAGTTTGCTAATAATAGGCTGAACAATTTCTTCTAGTTCCTTCTTTTTAGCTTTAAAGTCTTCAATGTCCGCATCTTGGTGGCTTTCCAGCCATTCAATCTTTTCCTCTACAGCTTTTTCCATGGTTTCTTTATCTTCAGAGGAAAGTTTACCTCCCAGCTTTTCTTTATCTCCAATCTGGTTCTTGAGAGAGTAAGCGTAGCTTTCCAATTCGTTCCTGGTGTCAATGCGCTCTTTGAGTTTTTTGTCTTCCTCAGCAAACTTCTCAGCGTCATTAACCATCCTTTCAATTTCTTCAGGCGTCAGGCGGTTCTGGTCATTGGTAATTGTGATTTTGTTTTTGTTTCCTGTACCTTTGTCTTCAGCCGTCACACGAAGAATACCATTAACATCTATCTCGAAGGTGACTTCAATCTGGGGCACCCCACGGGGAGCAGGAGGAATTCCAGTCAGATCAAATGTACCCAAAAGGTGGTTGTCTTTTGTTAGGGGTCGTTCACCTGGAGTAACAACAGGAAAAACTTGTTATTGATAAGCCTAGTGCACTGGTATCCCTACACTTCAACCTGTTAGAATATGTGTGGGGAGGGGGGAGCTTTATTGAGGTAAAAGTAACTCAGTATTGGAGTAAGAGCAACAACTCACTGGGTGCTACTGCTCTGAACCAAATTTCATTTCTTAAAAATCTGTATCCCTTAATTTGTATCCCAAAAGCCAGTGGACAAGAATGCTAAGTACTAAATCTAAAATTCAACACTAAGCAATCTCTTCATTTGAATTAAGATAATAAATAAGACACTTCTTTCCCTGGCATTTTAATGATGTATTATTAGATCCAAAGTCACTCTTTCAAACCACACAATATTTGTCAATATAAGTCATTACCTTCATAGACTTTGATTGTTACAGTTGGCTGATTATCAGAAGCTGTGGAAAAGATCTGAGACTTCTTGGTGGGAACCACAGTGTTCCTTGGAATCAGTTTGGTCATGACACCTCCCACAGTTTCAATACCAAGAGTAAGGGGACATACGTCAAGCAGTACCAGATCACCTGCAAAGGAAAAGAAATTAGGTTAGATTCTAGTTTGAATCTTAAAAGCACTACCAAGCAATCTCCCTCTGTCATTTACCCAGGTTCTAACCATAAACACTTTAGGGCAAATGAATTAACAGCTGCTAATGA